TTTTGCGTTCATTTTTATTATTCAACAGGCAGTAGAAAATACAGAATAACTTTCTCACTACTTTGCACAAAGGAATCTTATAAATGAACAACAAAACAGGATAAAACGTTAAGGTTACGTGCGACGAAGGCGATGATATGCGTCCTTGCAAAAACACTTCGCTAAATTTACATAATTTCTCTGTAGGTTCGTGATCCTTTTCGAGCTTCTTGGCGTGTACCCACAAGCCTTGCGCCGTTCAGCCACAGGCGTGGAGCCTAGAAAAAAAAAGTTGAATTCCCTGCTTGATTGAACTTTACGTGCGTGACAAAGTCCTATGAAAACAGCGAGTATATTCAGTACCTCCTTTCAAAAAACGGCACTTCAAGTTCAACACAACGACACTAAATACTCGTGTCTCCTCTTTTTTTCTCTCTTCTCCTTGAGTTAAATGCCTCAACGCTTAATTGACAATTATTTCGAATTTGATTATATAAGTAAGCGCAAGTGAAGACCGACGACGGTGTCTTGTTACTAAATGAAACTAAGCAATGAGGTTAAAAAAAACAATAAAAAAAACAGAAGCTCAGCTCTTTGGCATTGAGTCTTAATCGATAACCTCTATTAGTCTTTGATATTATCACTTCAATTTAGGAGTGCGTCACTGCTAAACGAGATGGGAAACCAGTACGGATCGCTCCATCGCTCATCGAAAAATTAGTCGAAAAATATTTAGGCTCATTTTTCACTCCTCGCGAACAGACGCGTGAATCGCTAACAATCCCAAATAAACAGTTTACTGCAAAAAGTTTGCCATCTTTTGAAGTCAGCACATGTGCTCGATTTTGATATTACATAGAAGTCGCCAGTTATTTGACAATGACGTATTTTTCGCGGCGAGTGAACAAGGGGTATGCTAAACAATGATAGGATTTGGTTTTGTGATTTGAAACCATCGCAGCTATTGGCAAAATCAAACAATTAATACTCACTACCACTGCGACAGTTAGGTTCTGTTGCAAACATTTAATCAGAAACTTAAGCAAGAGAAGACCAAAAGAGCGTACCTCACGTCACGTCCATTGGAACTAGAAACCATCGGTGTCTCGTCTTTCGGCAGTAATTGTTTCCCAACTTGGCACAGCAGGTGGTGTGATGAAGACGAAAATCCATGCTTGGCCAGATTACAAAAACCACGTGTTCCCACGAAAAAAGAAAAGAAAGCCGCGCACGCACGAACGTGGCAGGAATCTGGCGCCGCGATGTACTCCCAGAAGCGAAAGAGCTCGCGGGCTCGCGTCTCTCACGCGTTCTAACGGTGCACCGACTTCACCGACTTCTCGGCGCCAGCGGCCAGCGCATCTCCTAGCGAGAGGCGCGGGTTCAGAGAGAGAGAAAGCGCGCTCAGACACGTCAAAAGTGTGAAAGAGAGTTACGATAACAAGCTTCAAAGGCATTCACACCTTCAAAACAACTTCACTTTTATTTCACTTCATTAATAATATAAATCACATTTATTTAAAATAAAATAACAAGTGCCAACACCCGCTGGAAGCGCGGCAATCGGAAGCAGTTCGCCGGACCGGATGAGCGTCGTAAATATACGGGGCCGGACGGAAGTAGCCGAGAGCTTCATCCCACTGGTAAAACGACAAGCTGATTCCTGTTTAACGCATTCTGATCGTCTAGGCGGTAGGCGTTCTTCCCTGGGTATTTTCCCACCTTGAGGGGCGCAGAATAGCTGAGGCTACCTTTTGGAGAGTGTCTTACTAGCTTGACCCGTACTTTAAATCCAGGTTTCTGCACACTGCCTCTTGGTCCCCGGCAAGCATTCGTATACTCCTTGGACTTCTGCTGGTACTTAGTCACTCGTTGTCGCTGCTCTCCCAGACTCTTCGTTGGTTTATCAAAAAAATCCTTGAAGGGGCCCCCCACGATGTCCAGCCCCGTCCTTAAATTGGCGTCCTTGCAGCAGGAAAGCTGGCTTCTTGACTATGGCTGCGTGAGGAGTGCAACTGGGTACTCCACCACCGCTTTCTTGAGGGGACGCTGCTCGTGGACACTGACTTGCACGAAGTCCTTGAACACGCGGTTGAAACGTTCAATCTGTTCATTACTTTGGGGATGGTACGCCGAATTGAAGCTGTGTCGCACTCCCCGTTCTGTCAAAATGCTTCAAACACAGCGCAAACGAACTGAGGGCCATGATCACTGACAACTTCAGTAGGGTAGCCTTCCCGGCTATACAGTGCCCATAAAAACGAGATGATCTTTTTTGACGTCACTAGTACCGTCAAACACACTTCGGGTCACTTGCTGAAATAATCAATTAGTGTCAGAGCGTACCGGCAGTCGCTTGGGGCATTGGAAAAGGGCCGAACAATGTCTATTCACACTTTTTCCCAAGAAGCAGACAAAAATGCAACTGGATGTAGGGGAGATTACTTCTTGTCCTTGTTTTCTGTTGCGCTATTTTATATGTTTTACTAAGATGAACCAACTAGCCCAACAACGTACCTTAAGAGATACAACGAATTTCGCAGACTTGTCACCTGCTTCACAAACACCGCAGGAACTAACAACAGTTTCAATGTGTTTGTCCATTCCAAGCCGCCAATATGTGTCACAAGCCCGCTGCTTTGTTCTTGTTATTCCAGAGTGAGCTTCGTGTGCTAGTTCCACAATCTTCGCAATAAGAGAGGTAGGAACAACCCGAATCCCCCGAATAAGCTGATATCCACTCAAGGAAAGTTCGTTTAATTGTTGAAAGGGTGCCAAGTGAGGATGCAGCTCCTTTATTTGTGGCCAGGTACCGGTTGTCAAGGCAATCACTGGTTGCAGACGGTTGTCCTACCAAGTCTCTTGGACTAACTCTTGCAGCGATAGACACAAAGAAATGGCACAGACAACCTCGTCTTCCTTGGTTTCCCCGGGCGGATCAAGAGGCATACACGAAACCGCATCTGCCACAAACTTGCCTTCTCCCTTCCTAAAAACCATGGTGAAGCTTTAGACAAGCAAACGAGCATGCCATCTTGCAATCCTGAATGGTCGTTGGCCAGTTCCTTGCGATCTTAACAGTGTCAACAGTGACTGGCCGTCGGTCTGCAGCGTAAAATGCCGACCCCACTAGAAAACACGCGAGTGCTCGCACGCCCACATGCAAGCCAACGCCTCACGCTCTCCAGCAGAGTATTTCCGGTCTTGTGGCGTTAGAGTTCGAGAAGCGAAGGAGACGGTCACAAGGTCTTCGTTTTCCTTCTGCTGTAAAACTGTTCCAAGGCCGTATGCTGAGGCATCAGTTGTCATGACCACGGGCCGCTTAGGGTCGAACAATTGTGAGAGGCTCGCAGAAAAGTAAAAACTTAGTCTCTTAAAACTGTTTCCCGAGCAGCAGTCCAGCGGAGAGGTTTACCTTTGTGTAGTAACTAACGTAGCCATTCTGCCAGCTCTGCATACCCAGCGATGACCTTGGTGCAGTAGCCGACCATGCCCAGAAACGAACGTAGCATGGTGACGTCTGTAGGTGCTCGGCCCTTGACAATCACGTCAACATGGCTTTGCATGGCTGACACTCCCGCTAGCTGACGTGTCCCAAGAACAACAATTTGAAAACATTGAAAATGCACTTGTCGTTCAGCTTCAAGCGCGCTTCTCTGATGCGATGGAGAACTTCATGCACATTCATGAGGTGCTCCACTTCGGTAGTTTCGAGAACAATGATGTCATCTAGGTAACAGTGTACTTGTTGATATCTCTTCAGTATTGTAGTCATCATTTTCTTGAGCGGAACAGGAACCGTAGCCAACCCATAACAAACCTTGGTGAACCTAAAATGTCAGTCGTGTGTTATGAACGTCGTCAGGTCTCGGCTTTCCGGGCACAAAATAATCTGATGGTACGCGCTCGATAGATTGAGCCGCGAAAAGTACTTCGCTCCGACCTGCGCTTGTAGCAGTTTGTCAGTGTGAGGCAACGAAAAGCTATCAATTATGACGGCCTTGTTTACTTTTCTTAAATCAACGCAGAGTCGAACTTTCCCGTTTTGTTTCTCACCGCCACGATCGGAAAGATCCACTCAGACGTATCAATGTTCTTGATGACGCCTGCCTGTAGATTTTGACGGAGCTCTTCAGAGACCTCGTCCCTGACAGAAAAAGTAAGTCTTCGCAGCTTGGCAGGAATGGACTGAGCTCCTTGACGCATCTTCACCTTGTGAGCGAACGTCGTTATGGTACCGAGGGTTCCTTCAAAAAGGTTCGCGAAATCATCTACCGAGGTTCGAGGGAGTCCAGAAGTACGCACATGGTTTTAAAACATTTCAACGGGCTACCACTGACCTTAAGGGACAAACAAGCGATGGCATCGATGTCGAGTATGTTCGTATAGTTTAGGAAAACGTAGGAGTGTGCAGAACGCTTGCGCTCCTTGTAACCGGCAACAGCAACAAAGCGGCCTGCTACGGCGCTCTTCTGCTGCGGAAAATCGAAGAAACTTCCGGACGTACCTTGCAGTTTTGATACGCAGAACTTTACTTTCTCTTGTACGTATCTTCCGACGTTATGGAAACTGCTGACCCTGTGTCGACCAAGAATAAGGGCGTTCCTTCGACATGAACTGGAATGTAGATACATCTCTTTGGTTTATCGTGCACATAAGAATACTAAAAACGTCCTCGTTAGAGTCATTCAGGTATGCAACTTCTCTGATAGTACCACATTTGCTAGTGCGATTGGCGGTACCCTTGCAGAGAGCCCGAAAATGCCTGGCTTTCCCGCATCCAGCACACGTTTTCCCTCTTGCTTCGCATGTAGCGGAATTTACGTGATGTCCCGACGACCACCCAGCGGTAACATTTCTTCAAAGTGGAGAATGAAGGCTCACCTCTTTGTGCACGCTCTAGTCGCTCAGTGTTTGGAGTAGACTTAGCGTCCATCTTGTGGTACCGATGAGGATGATACGAGTTCTTTGGAGTACCAGACCGCTTTCTCTAACCGTCAGCCGATGGGCAACGCCCGGCCTCAGGTCAGACCACTACCTTCCAGGAATAGACGCTCTCGTAACTGCTGCCTCGTAGTCTTCGCCACCAGCTGATCTCGGATGAACTCGGCCATCAAGAGTGCGAACTCGCCGTCCGTTGACAGGTATCGCAGCTCGGTCAGAAGTACTTCGACGGGCTCCCCCGGTAGCTGCGCTCCTTGCCTGAAGCGGTACCGTTCCACGACCGCGTTGGAAGCTGCCGCGAAGTTGGTCTCTAGGGCCGCCAAAGCGACATTGTACTCCTCCGGCGTAGTCGGTGTCTTCGCGCCTGCAGTTGGTACCTTCAGTGGTACCGGAGGGTGAGTCGCCGGAAGTGTGAAGACTCGGTGTGCTTCGACACCGAAGCAATGTAGAAATCTGGCCTTCCGCCGAGCAGGTCCATGGGCGCCTCCCCCCGAAACCAGCAGGTAATTTGGGAACACTCGCCGCCACTGTTTCCACGGGATAACAGGTCGTCCGGAAGAGGAAAGGAAAGGAGGCGGCACCGCTAGGCTCATGCTTGTCGGTCCATCATACTTCGCCAATTTGTTGTATTCTGCCGCGGCAGCTAAAGTCGACCGCCCTGCTCCAGTACCGGTGAAGAACAACCTTTATTCCTTTCTCCTCTTTCGTCTACAGCTGCGATAGTAGCGCCGCCAAAACAACGACCTTTTTTGTGGACTAGACAAAACTGATCTTGTTCTTCTTAGTGCATCTTTCTCATCGGTTTGAAGAAGCGCTCATTTTCTTGCACGCGCTGGAGAGCTTGTTCGCAGGTGAAAATACCCCTTCAACGTTCACTTTTTTCGCTACTTTTTCAGTCTATGGGAGAAGTTCTGAACATAAGGCACAACAATAGTTGTAGTTTACCTGTCTCTTGGGTGAGGTTTAATGACCTCCCATAATTTTCATATTTTTGAAGAAATTCTCTGCAATCCACGTTAATAAGACAACGGGGTACGCTGATGAGGACGCTACCTCAACCACTAACTTCGCAAACCCCACAATAATATCACTAGAGGCAACTCACGACATCTACATCTGCACTGCCGGGACTGCGGGTGTGCGGCACAGCAACGCAGTTGCAGCGTGGTAGACCGCAACAACAACCAACTAACTAGAAAAATAATTGAAGCGAAGCATGTTGCCGGGCTTGACGATGGACGCATGAGCTGCCCGTCTTTCACCATTATCTGCGAAATAATTAGATTTCCTCACCTTCAGACCAAAAACACGGACTATTTTACAAATTTGTTTTAAAAATCGGATAAGAAAACGAGGACAAAATAATTTAGAGCTTTTGTTCTAACAATACGTAAAAGAAAGCGAAGACAAAATACAAAACGTTGTGAGTTCAGCGCTGTGCGTCTGTCTATGTTTCTGTGTCTGTAATCGATGGAATGCCTGTTTGCGAGATGTTTATGCGATCTGAAGTCGTGAGATGAAAAACCAACTAGCCCAAGCTGCTGTGTTGACAAGAAGTAACATTGTTGCTTGCTGTAGGAGCATCAAGGACAAGAAAGAGGCTTGGCTCTTTTTACTTGTGCCTTTCGGTTTGTTTTAACACTTAAAACAACTCGTCGCTGTTGACATTGAAGTTGCCATGAACCATTCTCTTTTAAGCAAAACAGAGAGGATCATTGAGTTCATGCAAAGCAAGAATCTGGTTAAAAAGTGAAAGCCGTTTACAACTCCCTGTAACGCCGAATTGGAGCGCAGCTCTTGAGGAGGAGGAGTGAAGGGTATTGAGGGGAGGGTAGACCCCTCCTCCGCCTTCTCCTCCTCCTCCCCTTATTCTTGAATATGCTCCGGGGGATCACCTGACCTCGGGGGGAGGGGGTCACGTGACCTCGAGGGGGGGGGGTTACGTGTCCTCGGGGGGGTCACGTGACTTGGGGAGTCGCGTGACCTTGGCTATCACGTGACCTTGGGGTGACCTTGGTGGGTTACGTGACCTTGGGGGATCACGTGACCTCGCAATTACGCCGACGGCGACGGCGACGCCGACGCCGCTCAAGCCGGAAACGGACGCCTAAGAGCTGCGCTCTAAACAGCTGCGAATAGTGCTGCGAGAGCGTAAGGGCCATCTCTCCGAAAGTCATCAAGCAGACATCGTGTGCCTAATTGTACTGCTTGTGACATACTTTGATAAAAAAAACTGTCGTCTATATCAGCAGAGTGAGGTATAAGTGTCTTATGTTAACGTCTGGGATTATCAATCCAAATTGCACTCCAATTGTTGATAGGAAGACCGGTGAGTAACTAACAGGAATCGAGATTCACCACCCATGATTACCATGCATTGTACCGCGTGGGTCAAAGGGATAGATGGCCGTTTCAATGGACGGCGAAAATCGGGTTCTTACCGTATTGCGCTAGAATATACTACAGAGGTGCTTAAAATTGGTAGAAGCGTTTACTAAAATTGTGAAAGGATTAGCTTACCTGTGTAAATCAAGAAAAACAAAAAAAAAAATATGTTTTCTCAATACATTGCATGTACACTGAAAAAAATTTGATGTGTTACTGTGGCGCTTATTTGGCCCAGATAAAGTGAAGAGTATGTAAGCCAATTCTATTTGCACTCCAGCTCACAAATTGTTTAATCTTAGCAGACGCTAGAAAATCCCATAACGATTTTCTGATAATTTTGAGATAAAAAGCTTAGCGATCATTTTTCTATTCGCGACTCCAGCAAAACGGTCGCCGCCAAGCGGGAAAACCGGGAACCAGTCGGTCCAGGTCGCTCCGCGCCCCGCCGCGTCTCTGATGGCTTTCGCGGACACGTGCTGTCGGCGCGGGGGCGAGCAATGTAATTTGACGAAGTTCCGAAAATTTCTTAAGTTTGCCTGAGTGTTCATTAATGTGGTGAAGCCTCAATAGATTGTTTCTTTCCATCACGTGTTTGAAAGCCCGTTTACCCCACAACACACGGTCGCGTGCTTTCAATTTTTTGGATGAGGAGGAATCACGGAAAAACGTTTTGATTTCTCGTCTGTCTCTAATCGCATTCAAAGGGACGACTGCTTGGTAACTGATAGGTGGTTTCTTTATAAGGATGTAGAACAGTGGACTGAGGTCGACGGACGAAGTGTTTGACTGGAGGGAACACCAATGTTGCAGTCAAGTGAATGGGAAGGTTCGATAGCTGCTTTCCTTGAGTTTGGTTGTGCTCGATTAGCATCAAGTTAATTTGAGCCAGTAACGCCGGCCGGTGCGTTGGCTATTCATCTTGGCGGCTTTTCGCCGAAAAAGACCACGTTAAGGGAGTTGGGCTAATTTCGCAATTACTTGATTCAGAAAACCTGCTCGCTGCGTATGATTAATGAGGGAAATTATCTGCTTTCAAAAGGTGGGGGACGGGTCTCGCAAAGTTAGAGGCTGTCACGTCATTAAGATCTATCGCGCCTCCAATATTTATATTATAACCCCTGTCGAAGCCAGCAGCAATGCACGTCTACATTGCTCAGGTTGACCGGCCACAAAAAATACTCATTTTATCCGTTCAGGATTCGAAGTCAAATTCAATGCAGAGAGGTCTGAGTGAATCTCCGATGAAGACTCTCCTCAGTTTGTCCGCATTCGTCTCCGTTCTACCGGCTAGAACCGTGTGGCTAAGTTTAATTAGTATCTCTCTGTCTGTCAAATATACTTTTATTCAGCAGTTCACATGATAGTTAGTTAACTAAGTTCATATTTCAACCCGAAGAATATACTAATATCGCTTTAAATACTAATATCGCTTTAGATACATAATCCGCATATTCGTTAAAATGACTTGTCGATTGCTACTAAAACCTGAATTGAAATACGAGTATCAGCTGCTTAGTGAAGCGCCAGCGAGTTGCCATGCTCCTTGGCTCAAGAAGCGCTTGCTTAATTTTTGTAATTTTCCTGCAGCCTGTGTTCTTGACCGAGCACACGACTGGAGCTGTTTCTTGAAACGCGGACACGCACAAAAGCTCAATTTCGCGGACAGACAGGTCGCATGGTCGAGGCATGCGAGTTAGCTAAAAATTACTCTCGGTGAAACAATTTTGTAGCCCTCGCCGCTTTCCTTAGATGATCAAAACTAATTAGAGTCTATTACCGTTTCTCCGGAGCCCATAGTTTCGGCTTTGATCGAAGTCTCCGAAACGAAAGTTTGACATAAAAAAAAAACAAAAAAACACCGGAAAAACAAAGCTATGCTCGGCAAGTTTATGCGCACCGGCTACACTTAACTGTCTCAGTTCAAATACCCATAAAATTGGGCATTCAACAAAAGAAAATTTGTTAAATTGAATGCGCCACCGATTCAGGCGGCCCGGCCGAGCCGACGCGACCTGGACTCAGCCGCCATGTTTGTTTGGTGGTGGCGCCCCCTATAGGTCGCTGGAGTCGCGAATAGACTAAAACAAGTTCTGATTTGCTTTTTTTTTTTACTCCGGCAGTTTCATGAATTCCTACTCTCTATTAATGAATGCACCAGCTTCGAGCATCTCTTTAGTAAATCCCAGCTCGACAAGTTAAGGCCCGTTCACACTCTTGCGACCTCTTAAACCTGGGTTCCTTAAAACTTGTTAAACCAGAAAACACACTGGCGCCATCTATTGGGAAGCAGTGTAAACTCGGCGGTCCGGCATATTTTTTTTTATTTCTCGAGAATTATCCTTTGTTTCTTGGCTCGAAAAACTTTTGACAATGTTATAAACGAGCCTTTCTATGGGTATTACGCACATTTGACCTCGAAAATCCCGCAAAACCTTCGCTCTTGTGAAAAGCAGTTCCAGGGTCACCGCATAGATGGCGCCACAATGTCAGTATGTTCCCTCATTCTAAAAACATTTAAGAAGTTGTAAAAGATCTCGTCTCTCTCAGTCGTACTCGGTCGCAAGAGTGTGAACGGGCCTGTAAGGTCCGTTCACACTCTTGCAACCGAGTACGACCGAGAGAGACCAAACCGGTTTTTAAGCCTCTTGCGATCTCTTAGGACCAGCTCCGCTCAGCGCATCCGGTCCCAAGAAGTCTTTCTCAGTCGTACTCGGTTGCAAGAGTGTGAACGCTCCTTTAAGAAACCGGTTTAAGCGGTCCTTTCAAACCGCCATCGATCCACTAGACCCCCGCGGTAGTTCATGATGAGTATCGGTTACTTTCCCAAACCTCAAGTTGTCATCATTGTCTTCAGTTTTATAATGCTTTAATAGTTTTTCCAGGGTACAGCATATTATTGGAAAGTAAACATATTCGGCAGAAATCTGCCTGGTTGGGTGAGAGTTAAAGTCGAAACCAAGTTGGTTTCGAAACGTCGGGTTTCCTTTCAAATATTGGTGGGAGCAACATATTCGAACTTTTGCAGCATGTTATGCCTTCTTTTGCGTCTTATGGTTGTTCTCTAATTTTTAGCGGAAACCGTCCACTCAGCCAACAGTACTCGATTTTAAGCGATGGAATAACTGTGATGGACGAAATTTACATGTTCGACCAAGCACTAGCTGTACTATTGAGCGCGTAGTACCTTTTCAACATTGCATACCCA